GCTAATGAGTATTCACATATCAAATATGAAAAAAATTGCTCTATTACATTTTGAGTTATAGTAAAAAACATAAAATGACAAACATACGAAAAATTGGTAGCCATTTTTCAATATGGCCTCTTCTCCACAAAGTGTCATTTGACAGTGTGCCTTGCTTATTGTATTCACATATCATATGAGAAAAATCGCTGCACTACTTTTCGTGTTATAGTATAAAACATAAATAATTGCCGCCTTCTACCAAAAACGTCATAAGACAGTGAGCCATGCTTATAGTATTCACATACCAAATATGAACAAAATCACTCCACTACTTTTCGAGTTACAGCAAAAATTGTAAAAAAGCATGTAAAGGCTGCCATTTTTCAAGATGGCTGCCATGTTCTTTTTCGGTATCTATATTTCTAGCTTTATTAATGTCCTTTATAATTTCTTTACATTTAAAACATATTGCTATTACCATTTTACATATTGTACCTTAATTACTGAAAATCAGCACTTAAATGGCCACCATTTTACGATGAGAAGCCATTTTGAAAATTGGCTTTCAAGCTGAACTTCTACCCCCATAGGGTATATGTGTTCAAAATATTAACAAAATCTGGCCTACAGTATTTGAGTTATTGCCTGGATGGACGGACGTATGTATGGACATACATACGTACAGACGAACGGAAGCGTTCCCTATATCCTTCCAAACTTCGTTTGATGGGATAATTATCACTAAATCATAACTGTATTAATTAGAAAGAGGAATGTTCATACATGACATTACTAAACTTAGGTTTATAACACTATTCAAAGTTGACTCGATAAAAGAAATCAGACAAAATATTGGTTTATCATTGACTAATGTCAACCTCACCATACCTCATAACCTAGACTTTCACTGGGACTTTAAACTGCCACGTTATTCTTATATTAAATAATTTCACAATTACGTTACCTGAAAACATCTTCATTAATATTTTGAATATGAGGATTTTACTGTTTGTGCTGGTATGTATTTACCACACAAGAAGCTTGGTTGAGGCAGAATGTGATTGCAAGCTAAGTGCATCTCAACCCCAAGTTCAACCAGAGATCATAAAGAATAAACTTGACCAACAGGAACGTATCATTGATGGGTACGTATGTGTTTTTTTATTATTTCAAAACAAAATGCATATAAAAGTTGTTTTTCAATTGTAGATATGTGCCTTTTTATATGCTTCTACAGATTGACTTCCTAGCTTTTCTAACCTTAGTAAGACCTATTCTTTTGCAAAAGAGAAGTAAAAAAGAAAGAAAAGCTTTTCATCAACTATGTTATCAAGAAATAGGAAAGAACCCCTACAGACAAAATGCTTTATATTAGGATGCCCAATACAGAACATGCTTCTGCTGCTTCTAAAACGTTATGTGTATTGTTGCAAGCTAGATAACCAAATGCTTTAATTTTAAATTCACCCACAGAAATAAACACAAAGTATACATCCACACGTTGCTCGCATTTCTTTTATGTTATACACTATGTTTTTTATTATCTTATATTTCTTATATAAATAGTGATACAACATTTGATGTAAAAACAGATTATTGCCGTAACAGCAAATAAATATTTAATAATAAAAAAGAGAAATGTTGGGAATAACTAAACCACTAATTTGGGGAAATTTTTTGTTACAAGGATGTATATTGTGACAAAATTGTGAGTTTCATTTTTGTTTTATTTTGAACTTTTATATGTGGAGTCAGTCAACTCTTTCAGAGAGTTTAATGGCTCAAATGTGTACATGCAGAATGTCACGTAGGCACTGGGATGTTTACTGATCAGCAGACTGTAGTGGAATAAATTAGAATAATTAAGCACCCAGCAACCGGTGATCAGCCAATCAGATTCTTTTATTTGAATTTCCCTCCAACTTAAGTTGTAGTTTTCCCATGATGCAACTTGAGGTGTCTGGATTTTATTGTTGCAATTAACCACGTGAATCAGAGTAAACCAAGATCTTGAAGATACAACACCTCGTCAGTTTGGATTTATTTATGTGCAAGCGTGTTTTATTTAATCTGTGGACTTATTGGAGCATTATTTTGGATATATTGGATTAGTTGCAGTAATCGTTAGATGCAGATTGTATTTAGTGCGACTATTGAAGAAAATACAAGACAACAGCCAGTGTTTTGGTGAGTTAGCCATTTTCTTGATTGAGGTTGGCATAAAATGGGTAATTAGCTGTCCGCCATCTTGCTTTCTTGTTCCCACAATTCCCGGCGGTCGGCCATCTTTGATTTTGAAGGAAGTGACGTCATTTTGAGAAGTTTTGAGCTCCAGATTCTCTGAGTTTATTTGGCTCTGTCTAATCTCATTTCTTTGATCGATATTCGTGAGTCATTCTGCTCTGAGTATTGGTGGCTCCTAGTCATTACCCCTCCAAGCTATAAATGCTCCTACTTTGTCGAGGCGATCTGACTCTCACCCAGGGTTGTATGTTGAGGAAGGTTTACTCTCATCGGAGCTAAGGTTACATTACCGGAACTGAGGTGCTCCAAGGCGAGAGATAACAGCTCTGTCTAATCTCATTCTTTGATCGACATTCTAGAGTTGTTATTCTCTACAGAGGTTGTAGTGAGGTTGCTCCTGCGAAGCGGTGACTCCGAGAGCAGAGGTTACTCTTTGGAGACAGTATAGCTCATTGAGTGAGAGCACTCTTTGAGTAGAGGTTACTCCTGAGACGAGGCGATTCCCGGGGCTGAGGTACTAGCAGTGTGTGGATCTCGTTCAAGAGCAGAGGTTACTCCTGAGACGAGGCGATTCCCGGAGCTGAGGTACTCCCAGTGTGTGGATCTCGTTGGAGAGCAGAGGTTTCTACTGAGAAGTGACGACTCCAAGAGCAGAGGATACTCCCGGAGCCTGGACCCCTTCCAAGAGACAGTGTAGCTCAAGAGTGAATTGAGCAGAGGTTGTAGAGAAGTACATCCTGAGAAGTGGTGACTCCAAGAGCAGAGGTTACTCTCGGAGCCTGGACTCCTTCCAAGAGACAGTGTAGCTCATAGAGTGAAAGCACTCTTTTGAGGAGAGTTTAAAGTGGTTACTCCAGTGACAAGGCGACTCCCGAAGCAGAGGTTACTTCCGGAGCCAGGGCTCCTTCCCAAAGACGAGATAGCTCAAGAGGGAGAGCTCTTTTCAAGCAGCGCAGAGCGGAGTAGACAAGCAGAGTATTGCAGAGAGCAGAGCATAGCAGAGAGCAGAGCCGAGTATATCAGAGTATAGCAGAGCAGAGACAAGCAGAGTAGAGCAGAGTATTGCAGATTAGAGTAGAGACAGATAACTCAGAGCCAGAGTGTTTTGGACCCTTGTATATATATAGAGACATTTGCATTTGAGTTATTGGCCATAAAGGCTTTATTAAAGGACACTTTGAAATTTATTGTGATTATTGTAGTGTTGAATAGATTGTTAAAATCCCGTAATTGATTGTTTTTTACATTGTGTTTTCCATCTCCTAGCTCAGTGACAGCTGAAGCACCAAACCAGCTCGGCGCCCGTGATAAACACCTCCGAATCCCTTATCATCGCCACCAGACCTTCTCCGAGGGAGTACGGGTACTCGGCGGGGGTCTGGCGCGCGACAATATGTAACCTCCAACATAGTTTTCCCATTCTTTCTATTGTATGAATATGTACTAATATGCAATGATTCTTTGATTCTAGCCTTGAGAAAAACTACGAAAATATTTTAAATGAAAATAAATTCAAACTGGAAAGATTATCAAATGTTAAGCGAACATCGAAAGCCATGTATGAAACAGTCTATAAACTATGTGAGTAATAAACTATTTAAGTAAAGAGCTATGTGAGTAATGGGCCATGTGAGTACAAATGATTATCACTCATACATTTTTGGGGGTAAAAGGCTGATTTTCTAAAATTTAAAATTTTTGTAAACTACATGTAGTATGTTATATATAAATAGATCAATAGCAATGTTTCTCAGTCCATATTCAAAGTGCCATAGTTTTGTATACTGTTAAGTTCATTATTGAATAAAGCTACCTCTTATCAAGGACATCTATCTCGATAGACATCCTTGCTCTTATCATTATTAATTAAAGCTACTTGTTATCATAATTGAATAAATAAGGGTTATGTACTGGGAGGTTTTGGATATGGGGTTTATCCAGAGGGAGATATGCATATCTACCTGAGGGACCGTAGGGACCGAAGGTAGATGTGCATATCTCACGAGGGATGAACCCAATATCCAAACCGACCGTACATAACTGCTTTATCCTATACCAAGTAGAGTTTTCTAATTTTCTTTCGATTTTTTCAATTTTTTTCACATTTTTCTAATTTTTTTCAATTTTTTCAAATTTTAATTTTTTTTCATATTTTTTCTTTTTTTCAATTTTTTAAAAAAAATTTTCGAAGCGGGAAGATATGCGCTGGAGCGGGAGATATGGAGGTTCAGGATATGGAAACCTCAATACAGGATATATCTTACCAACTTATCTCCCTAAAACTCTACTTGGCATAGGATAAAGCTACTTATTATCACTATTGAATACAGCTACTTATTATCATTACTGAATAAAGCTAATTGTTATCATAATTGAATAAAGCTACTTGTTATCATTATTGAATATAGCTACCTAACAGATAACTAAATTTAAAACATAATTTTATTTAGCTGACCCATGTTCAACGAAAGGACATCTTCGCTGCCTTCACTCTGGCGAATGTATACACAGGCTATTTGTAAGTACAAATGGTAATGCTACGGTAGTAGTCACTATTACAATTGGTTATAGAGTTACAATATCTGTTTTGATCATGAAATTCCTTTTTCTATATATCTATGAATGAATTTTACTCCTTCCTAAGACTTAATTTTCTTGGGACTGAAAAAATGGTTCATATTGAGAGGTTTTCGGAAAAAACAGGTTTATCTGTATATTATATATACACCTTTTGATTCTTAATATAGGGCTGTGATGGTATAGTTGACTGTATGGATGGATCAGATGAGGATAAAGAACTTTGTTGTAAGTTAATATTCAAATTAATATCCAATATTCTATAATTTGGATCTCCATTCAGTTTTAAGTTTAATTTTATCACATTAGTTTTATTTATAATTTTATTTTATTCACAAGTATATTTTTAACCTGAAGATTCAATTCATATGAAAATGATTTTCAATTCTGCATCTTCATCTTTATGAAACTATTGCTAAAATTGAACTGCAATCTTGGCATCATATATGTAACGCAGGCCCGTAGCCAGGGGGGTTCGGGCGAACTCCCCCTGACCAAAATTTCTTTCAAAATCATGCAGTTTTTCACCATTCTGACTAATTTTGAGTGATTTTTGGCCAAATTTGCCAAAGTGAACCCCCCCCTAGAAACCCCCCTCGGAAAATTCTGGCAACGGGCCTGTGATAATTCTAATGTTTTCAGTGAATCCTGTACCAATGGGAACAAAATTGAAGGGTCTCATCCCAGCCTACCAGACCTGCTTTCTTTCAGCAGTGACAGAAGTTACAATCAACGCAAGACCTGATAGAACAGAGAGGCTACAGCATTTCCCACAGGTTATAAAAACATTTGGTGTTGCCGAGTTCAGCTTTAATGATTCAAATGGGAGGTTAGTTATTTTGTTACTTATTAATTCCCAAATTATTATGATGAACATATATTTCAAACTTAATCTGAGGTTTGTTCATGTTTTTTTTAGTAATCAACATTCAAAGTCTATAGTATTGTATCGTATCGTATCGTATCGTATTGTATCATATCGTATCGTATCGTATCGTAATGTAACGTATGGTAGCATATTGTATTGTATTGTATTTTGTTTACCACCAATGAAGGTGAGCAATACCTTTTGGGTACATTCCGTATACAGTCGTAATTAACGCATGTAATCATGGATGGCAGACCCAGGAACCCTGATATATAGTCATACAAGTACATACCACAGCCTTTTTACGAGTTGTGGACCACTCAATCAAACACCCTGAAGTACTTTACGCAAACAAGCAAATTAAGTTTTGCCTGAACCAGGGGTCGAAAGCGGGACATATTGCTTAAGAGGTACATGTGTTACCGCTGAGCTTTATGGGTGGACTTGTTATTGTTAAATGAATATTCCTTGCTATACCATTTATCTCGTGATATGGTAGCTATAACCATATATCAGCTATAACCATATATACTTTCAATATTTAGCAGTCAATATTGATTTGAAAATGCACTGTTTATTTCAAGTGGGCTGTCACCTTTTCACTCTTCACATAGGAAGTGATGTCATGAACTATTAAATTTGCATATAGCGCTAGGGAAGGAGGTAACAAGAATGACACAGAGGTTCTTGTATGAGTATCTGTGCAAGATCTTCCATTCTTAATGAGCTTTGATAATACATATTCTTTATCAACTTGAAGACGAGATAAAGAAATATTATCAAAGCGAGTCAAGAATGGACGATATTTCACAGGTACGAGTGCAAGAAAGTTTTTCTCATATGACTCAAATTTATACATTTTTATGATCAAACTAAGTGAAAATAGCTTCAAACCAATGGAACTTCATCTTTCAATAGTTATGACGTCATAACAATGTTGTAGAATATAAATGGCTATATGCATGGCAACAAAGCCCTATTGTTATGATGTCATTTATGATGTCATTTTGTAGAATGAGCATTGATACTCATAGTAACAGTATATCCGTTGTCATGTTGATGAAGTTTATAAACAAGTGATGTCATCTCTGAAGTAAATCTCATCTTGCACATGTGACTTTTTAGGATGAAAGATGGTAATATCTTGCATGGGGTAAACACATGGTTGTATCTTTGTTAGTCATATATGAGAAAACTGAATATTCTTTTTCAATTTTGTCAATGACTTAATTCTTCAGATAATCTCTTCTTTAATTCTATGTTGACAAGCCCTCAAAATATTTTTGCACAGAAAGTAATAACCACTTAGCCAGAAGTGAGTTTCTGCTACTTTCCTACACTGTTATGGGCAACACAGGGAGATATGCCGATTACTCAATTAGTACAATATTAGTTGGTAAATTAACACTCTGGCAAAATCGTGCTCATGAGCACTCATGCTATGAGTGCTAATTTAGTACTAATTTTGTACTAACTGAGTACTCGGCATATGTATGAGTGCTCATTGAGTAATGAAAAATCAATGGAATTAGTGCTACTTTATCACTCACCATATGGCTTACGGACAACTCATCCCCTAGACAACTCATCCCTGGACAACTCATCCCCTAGACAACTCATCCTTTATCACATGAAGCCAATTTAGTTTTTTGGAAAATAAATATTTATTAAATACATCTTGAATCATTCTAAATATTATTTTTCACTTTATTGACACAAATAAAATGGTCAAACAGTCAAACGTGCCATTAAAACATTATATCTTGTCCTTATATTACATGACTTATTATTCATGACAAAAAATAAAATTTCCTCTATGCATAATTTTGTAACATGAATTTCAGTAACTTCATCTGTGACTGCTGTGAAAAAATAATCTTTGGATTAAAGAATATTTGAACATTGAACAACAAACATATTATGTCATCAAAGGAGCTTATAACATCAAAGCAGCTTCTTCGATCAATGTTAACATAATATTGAAATTGTATATTAAAAGTAAAATTTAAGGTAAATATTAAAAAAACAAATTACAGATTAATTGGTTGACTATATCCTTGACAATACCATAGTAGTACCGTGGAGTACCAGTGTTCATGTAATATATGATTTTGAATCTTAAAACTGATCATGATAGCCAATACATTTAAAAATCATTTGAATTATATATGAATTAATAATATTACATTAAATTACTCAAACATGCCAAAGGATGAGTTGCCCAGGGGATGAGTTGTGTAGGGGATGAGTTGTCCAGGGGATGAGTTGTCCAGGGATGAGTTGTCTAGGGGATGAGTTGTCCGGTTACCCACCATATGAGTACTCAATTACTACTAAAAATGCAACAAATCAGTACTCATGTCATAAGTGCTCATTTAGTTCTAATATTTACTGATATGCATACTCAATTAGAGCTAAAATGCCATGGGTACTATTTAAGTACTCGGCATATCTCCCTGTGAAGGGTATTCGAGTTGATGATATCACCTCCTGTGTAAAATCTGACCATAATCAAAACATTTTCCTGTGTTTTGCTATGTTATAGCTTCCATGTTGTAGCTTCCATAATAGGAGAGAATATCCCTTTAAATTTACGAAGATAATTATTAAAGTTGGATTTCTGTAGGATTCATATTGTTATGAAAGATTCACAAAGTTGCAAAAATAGTAATGTCACACCTGCTTTCATTCGTAGTTTAATAGCGTCCTCTGACCCTATTATTTTTTGAATGATGTCTTACCTTACATTAATATTGTGATGTTTAAATTTCAATTCATGGTTATTGTTATCTTGCAAACTAAAAAAGATTCAATATTACCCCGTCAGATATCTTTGGCGAAATATAGCGGAATATAGCGGAATATAGCGGAATACGCAATATTTTAGTGTTAACTTGAATTTTCAAACACTTTAGGGCCCATATATAAAAACAATAAAAATCCATTGAAAAATGAGTGAGAAATCAACTCACCAGCAAAAAAGTTGTTCTGAATAAAAAAAATCTAGTTCTTATACCTAATGATACAACATTATTTAACAAGGCATTAACATGAAAAAATGTCACCCCCTTGTTGCCCACAATATTATGAGTTCAATCTATTCAGATTTGAATTTCTGAAAACTTGTAGATTACTACTAAATAAACTGGTCAATTTGAAGCAAGTTGAAAAAATACCCTTTTTAACACCAGTACTGTCAACCCCTAAAGATTTTCTCGCGGGACAGATTTTTTAGACCAAGTGCACAAAATTTGCGGGATTTTGCGGGACATCTACTAAATTCGCGGGATTTCGCGGGACATTTAGGGATTTGCGTGATTGTGCTAATAGGCCAATTTTTTTTATCAAATTCGCGGGATTTCGCGGGACCATTCGAGGGACAAACACCCTAATTGCGGGACAGTTAACAGGGGTACCACCAAAAACTTCATAGAGGGACAGATTTTTTAGACAAAGTGCCCTAAATTTGCGGAATTTCGCGGGACATCCACCTAAATTTGCAGGATGTCCCGGGACATTCAAGGGATTTGCGTGATTGGGACTAATGTAAAAGCGTGTAAAAGTACTTAAATCAAACTTTCAGATACTGATTAATCAAATATAATGAATGCACCGTTACATTGTAACTTAAATAAACGTCAACACAATTTCACAAAATACGCATAGGAATATTATTATACTTCATTGTAATTTATCAAAAACAAAAACCATGCTTCAGGTGTGAGTACCGTAATCCAACACGAAATTCAAAAATTCGGAACAATACTTTGCACTTCTGGCGTCGTGACCAACTATGAAACGCTTACCCCCATAATGTTATATATGTACCTATCCATATACTGTAGGCATGGGCTTTCAATTGAAAGCCCATGATATAGGGGTTCGATTAATCTACATCAAATTATAGGAAATGAGGTTACTTTTCTAGATAGGGTTTGTAGAAAAAACCGGGTACTGGGTAGTAAATCCTCCATGCTGGGTTCAAACTTGGTACCCGGTCGAAAAAAACGGGTACCCAAAAAACGAGATATACGAATATACAACATAATTAGATCATTAGAAAACGTGTAAGATTTGTTTTGAATTATAAAAATGTATGTTACTTCCTTCAAAATTGAGCTAGAAGCTTCAAATAAAAAGCATTTTAAGGCTCTTTTCTTCCTCTATCATCATGGTCATATTTCCATTGGTAATGAAGGGGGGGGGGGGGTGCGATCGCACCCCCTCCTGGCTACGCCAATGGCATTGTAAGACGATTTGAAAAACAAGACAAATCAATCTTACTCTATTTTCAATACTTCGTATGTTGGTACATGAATTGTTTTGATTATGATTTAAACCTGTAAATAGCTATCGTTGCTTTAGCAGAGAGGTGACGTGTGTTAATTTAAAGGATGCAACTTGTAAGATTTTGATTATTAATCATAATTTAAGTAATCCCAATTTTCGACAAAATGTCCACTGAATTGTAAATTGTTATGTCTTACAATGTCATAGGCGTAGCCAGGAGAGGGTGCGATGGTGCGATCGCACCCCCCTCCCATAACCAATGAAAATATGGCCATGACGATAGAGGAAGAAAAGAGCCTTAAAATATGCTTTTTATTTGAAGCTTCTAGCTCAATTTTGAAGGATGTTACATACATTTGTAAATTCAAAACAAATCTTACACGTTTTCTCATAATCTATTATGTTATATATTCGTATTTTTCGTTGTTTGGGTTCCCGTTTTTTTTGACCGGGTAATGGGTACCAAGTTTGAACCCAGCATGGAGGATTTACTACCCGGTACCCGTGTTTTTCTACAAACCCTTTCTAGATATCAGCGTCCATTTATTGTAACTCGCTTTCGCTAATATTTGCTCAGTTCTGAGATGAAGGCCACACGGGTAGTAAAAAGGCCAACGTTGGAACTATTTGTGACCTACATCCCTATTTTCGTAATTAAAATGAAAGTTGAA